TACCCTAATTTTCCAAAGAGTTTCACCCCAACTTCTCTGGGCCTCTACCCATAATCTCTTGCCCCAGGTTTCTGTGAGTCTGTAGTCTGCTTTGGCAGCTTTTGTTAGTAGTGCATGCCACTTTTCTGCCTGAGTTCTGAGTTAGGTTGAAATACAGACAAGCACTTAAATACCCCAGGCAGGGTAGAACAGATATATACAATAATTTGCAAATATGGTCTGCTCTCATTGTTGAGGGAAGGAAGTTTTTTAAAGAGATGGGGACTTGTTCTGTTGCCCAAGCTGGAGTACAGTGGCCTGATCATTGCTTACTGCAACCTCGGAACTCCTGGGCTTAGGTGATCCTCCCACTTTAGCCTCCCGAGTAGCTGGGACAATAGGCGCATGCCACAATGCCTGGCTAATTTTTTATTTTTTAAAAATTTTTTGTAGAGATGAGGTCTTGCTATGTTGCTCAGGCTGGTGTCAAACTCCTGGCCTCAAGCTAGCCTCCTGCCTTTCCCTCCCAAAGTGCTGAGATTATAGGTGTGAGCCACTGTGCCTGGCTAGCTTTTTGTTGATTGGGCATTTGCTTGGTTGCTGTAAACCTTTGGCTATCTTTTTTCTTCCCTTCCCTTCCTTTTCCTTTTCCTTTTCCTTTCTTTTCAAGATAGGATCTTTCTCTATCACCCAGGTTCGAATGCAGTGGCACAATCATAGCTCACTACAGCCTCAAACTCCTGGGCTCAAGCAATTCTCCCACCTCAGCCTCCCAAGTAGCTGGGACTACTGGTGTGAGCCACTGTGCCTGGTTAATTTTTTCTTATTTTTTTAAATGGTGGTGGGGGGGGGGTCTTACTATGTTGCCCAGGCTGGTCTTGAACTCCTGGCCTCAAGTAATCCTCTTGCCTCAGCCTCCCAAGTCGCTGGGACCTTTAACTTTTTTCTAAAGCTCCGGCAAAGTTTGTTCAGACAGTTACCACTTTTTCTTTTTTTTTTTTTGATGTTTCTGTGGAGGAATGAGATCTTGGAACTTCTTAGTCTGCCATTTTGATGACCTGTAGGTTATCTTTTTCACTCTCTTGATGGTGTCCTTCAATGGACAAAAGTTTTTAATTTTGATGAAGTTTATCTATTTTTTATTTTATTCCTTATGCTTCATGTGTCATGTTTAAGAAACCATTGCCAAATTCAAGGTCATGAAGATTTGCTTCTTTTTCAGTAGCTATAACAAAGTTCCTTGAGATAACTTCTGAGCTTGACTGAAGTTACATGTCCATCTTCAAAGCAATCACTGTGGTGAGGATAATAGACTGTTCTGATTGGCCAGGCTTGATTGTGTAGGATCAGCCACATGGATTGAGAATGGGGTTAATGCCAACATGCTGTTTCCAAAAAGGAAGCACGAATGGGTGCTAGAAAAAATTAGTAAATATCTAATTCAGTATATTGAAAAGTTTATGGTGCCCCAGAGTACCTGTTTTAATTAAAGGTGTATTTTTCTTATAATAAATATGTAAATGTTTAAAAGTGACCTCCAAAATTATCTCTGCTGATGTGGTCCCTGACAAACCAAGCAGGGGGAAGCCTACCCTCTACTTCTTGATTTAAAGTACTTACTTGTTGGCTGGGCGTGGTGGCTCAGGCCTGTAATCCTAGCACTCTTGGAGGCCAAGGTGGGAGGATTGCTTGAGCTCAGGAGTTCAAGACCAGCCTGAGTAAGAGCAAGACCCCATCTCTACTAAAGATAGAAAAAATTAGCTGGGCGTGGTGGTACATACCTGTAATCCCAGCTACTCAGTAGGCTGAGGCAGGAGGATCACTTGAGCCCAGGAGTTTGGGGTTGCAGTGAGCTATGATGATGCCACTGCACTCTACTTGGGGCAACAGAATGAGACTCTGTCTCAAAAAAAAAAAAAAAAAGTATTTATTTGTTGTGGTTTGTTTTGTACAGGTACTGCTATAACCAGAGTTTGGTAGAAAAAGTATCTACTTATTGGGGTCCTGTTGACATAGAAAGAGATGTGGGGGGATTCTCGATCTGCTAACAGAACAGGACCTTTTCGGTAAGTCCTGAAATTTGAGTATTGAAATTGTTATTATTTTAATGATAAATATATAGTATAACATTTTGGCCTATTCTAAAGGGAGATACTTTGTGGAGAAGTATCTCTGATTTTCTAAAAATAGAAACTGTTTTAAAAATTTCTAGTCATTTCTAAAGTCATTGTGAGACTGAATACCCAGCAGCCAAGTGTTTTGTCATATAACATTTTTGAAAATATTAAAAATATCTCCAAGTCTCTTGTATCTTTTTATCTCTTTTAGCAAAGTAATACATACTTGGCTAGTAGGGAAAGCTAGCAAAATGTACATAAATGCTTATAAAAGTTCCATTAAGTTCACTAATTATGTTTAGAATGCAGAGCTATGCCTTGCCTATGGCATATTGATGTAGTTTGCTAAGTTACATTTCAATTTCACAGGTTACTGGGTACCAAGAAGAGTGGAGCAGGTGGTAGCATTCAGATGTAAATAGATTGTATTTTATAGGGAGTTAATTTTTTTACAGCCAGTATAATACACATTGATGATGATATTTTAAAAACTATTGCACTGTATTTACAATTAATGAAATGCTATACAAATGTGATTTTATGGTTTTACTTGGTATATCGTAAAGAAATCTGACCTTTAAATTTGTGCATTCAAAAGTATTGATGCTCCAGTTGAAACTTCTGTTAATAGTAAATTTTTATTTGGATTGGCAGTCTGCAAGATTTTATTGTTTAAATTCAACAGATATTCTCATTCATTATTCTGAAGCTTGGCATTCCATCGAAAAATTTAGGTAGTGACTGAGTTTAGAAGATCCATATAATGTTTAGTAAAACTAGTGTTTCGTAAATGCTAAATGATAAGGGTCTTTTCTTTCTGCTTAGTGGTATTTAAAGTGCTGAGTATGTTTTTTCTTTCAAAATATTATGGTCTATGCTAACCAAGAAGTTGTAGGGGAAAAAAAATAAAATAAAATGAAAAAATAAAAAAAAAGAAAAAGAAAAATATTATGGTCTAGATTAGTGGTCAGCAAACTGTAACCCACAGCCTGTTGTTGCAAATAAAATTTTATTGGAACACAGCCACACTTATTCATTTACAAATTACCTATAATTGCTTTCATGCTACAGTGGCAGAGTTGAATAGTTGTGACAGAGACTGTATAAACCCACAAAGCCCAGTATATTTACTATCTGGCTGTTCACGGAAAAAGTTTGCTGATCCCTAGTCAAGATTAGTGGGCTTGTACTTTAACATTTTAAAATATTTAGGTTTTAATTTGTCCTTTTATTACTTCTGTTTATGAACATACTTTTGGAAGTAAAGCTATTTTTAATGGAATTAACATAGGTAAATAATCAGAAATGTTAGATAAATTTATCTCTATCATATAACTTTTTTTCTATTTTCAGAACATTTTTTCCTCGACCTGTTTAAATTTAGTAAAAAGTATATTTCACCACCTTAATTTTAGTTTAAATGTAAGTCATTAGATGCTATTTTTTAAGATCTTTTGTCAGGAGGGAGACGTAGTTTACATAGCATTCCTTTTTGGGGGACTAATTTAGACCAGAAGAAGGTATCTTGTAGGAAAATGATTTTGTATTTCTTTTTAAATTTGTTTTTATTTGGTTGAAAATCATTTTCATAGCTACTGCTATTTTATATTAATAGAACTGTTTCTTGATTAGTCTGCATAAAATACAGATCTAAGAACCATAGTACAGTGGGTTACTCCAGATCTATTTGATCTTAATTCAGGAGGGTAAGATAATCTTTAGGGCAGTTATTCAAGGACAGTGTTGGATATGTTCTGGTCAGAAAACATGTAGATTTAGATACCTCAGACCTCATCCCATGAGAATCTGATGAGGCTTAAGTCTCCCTGCAAGCTAACTATTAGGACTAGAATGATTTTTTTTAAGGTCTGGAATGATTTTTATTTATTTTTTTTAATTTAAAATTATTTTTCTAAAAAGATTATCCGGAACCACACCCAAGAAGCCTTGAGCAAGTGGACTCTAGAATGATTTTTAAATATGGGAGATACATAGTTAGTGGTAACATCTTAATTTTAGTGTTAAATCGTGTTACTTACGAAGAACATCTAAACTTCTCTGTGATTAACCACAGACATAACTAATGTTAATGGGAGCCGGTGGAAGTCGTCATCTTCTGAAAATCCATTAAATATACTTCATTCTAGTGTTTAAGTTAATTTTGTTAAGTGTCTATTACTTTAAGAAAGGTTTTGACATTGTGTAACTCTTTCTCTTGAACTGAGTGACCCAGAATTGGTCATCCCTTGAATTTTACTGTAGTAATGTAGTCTGAGCTCAGAAGGGTCTTATGATAAAAGCTGTGTGTTCTGGGTGAAGAGAACTGAGTTGATAATTGATACCTGAATGCTTTTGTTTTACTGCTAAATAGCAGATGACCCTTCAAATCATTTCGTGTATTTCTTTTTCATGTGTCCCCACCCAGGACCCCAGGTGCCTAATTGCCTACTTAAATTCCCTGATCTTTGACCAAAGCGAAAACATGTAAAATGCCCTGGAACTTTAGTTAAAGGAAAGAAGTTTAGTATGAAAGATTGGGCCAGCACTTGTTTATCTCTTGAGTTCTATAAACTGAGAATGTGAATTTAATACTATGCCTGTTTTTTTAAATGCATTTTATTACCATGAAAAATTAGCATGAGGCATTGGAATCTGGAATATCAGCTTCTTCATTTGGGTCATGGGGATAATGCTTGAAGGCCTAATGCTCTCTCTAGGTCCCTTTCAACATTAAGCTCCTGGATGCTGTTGCTTGGCTTAGATGACTTACACATACTTTGTGGCATGATTGATGCTGCCTCCTGTGATGCCCTTGGGTAGTTATAATAGGACCCAGGTGAGAGCACTTCTTGGCAGAGCCATGGTAGAACTGGGATTTAGATGCAGCCAGGGCTGATGCTCAGCTGTGGAACACTGTTGAACTCCTACTGGTGATTTACAACTAGTGTTTCTTTCTTTTGGGTCTACATCCATTTTGGTTGGGTGGTGTCCATGCTGTAGCTGTAATAAAACATTTTGGAACATTATCCCTGGATGCAGCAATGAGAAAGACACCTCCTGGAACTTACTGTAAAACATTACAGTGCATTGGTTTTTCTGATGTATAGGAATCATGTTGACCTTGGAATTCTAAGTTCCCTGGCTGTAGAAATGGAAATTTTTGTAGTGTGTCACCATTGTTAGCTTATCTGGTATTGCGGATTTTCCCTGTTGCAGGACTGGGTGAAAGCTTTTTCTGCAGCAGTCATGTTGAAAACCTTGTGTTGACTTTCCTCGTGTTGTGAAATGGGAGCATAAAAGTTTACTCCGCCACTTCGTCTTAAAATAGCAAAACTTTGCTGTTTTCTGCAGATCTAGGACCTTGTTACAGAACTCTGCCAAAAAAAAAAAATGTTTACAGAAGAATGTACTGTGATTAGAGAAGAATATGCTGGTGTGTAGATTTCAAACTCTCTGGACAATATAAATAACACTGTCTTTGTTTCTACAGTGGGAGCCAAGAAGAAAGGTTTGCTCCCGGGTGGAACAGGGATTATCCTCCTCCTCCCCTTAAGAGTCATGCTCAAGAGAGACACTCTGGCAACTTTCCTGGCAGAGATTCACTTCCCTTTGATTTCCAGGGGCATTCGGGGCCTCCCTTTGCAAATGTAGAGGAGCATTCTTTCAGCTATGGAGCTAGAGACGGACCGCATGGTGACTATCGAGGAGGGGAGGGACCTGGACATGATTTCAGGGGGGCAGATTTTTCATCTTCTGATTTTCAGAGTAGAGATTCATCACAGTTGGACTTTAGGGGTAGGGACATACATTCTGGGGATTTTCGGGATAGAGAAGGACCACCTGTGGACTATAGGGGTGGAGATGGTACTTCTATGGATTATAGAGGTAGGGAGACATCTCATATGAACTACAGAGACAGGGATACTCACACTGTTGACTTCAGAGGTAGAGATGCTCCTCTGTCTGACTTCAGGGGCCGGGGCACTTATGATTTAGATTTTAGAGGCCAGGATGGATCCCATGCAAATTTTAGGGGAAGGGATTTATCAGATTTGGATTTCAGGGCCAGAGATCAGGCCCGTTCTGATTTTAGGAATAGAGATGTATCTGATGTGGACTTCAGGGACAAAGATGGAACACAGGTAGACTTTAGAGGCCTAGGTTCAGGTACTACTGATCTAGACTTTAGGGACAGGGATACACCACATTCAGATTTCAGAGGTAGACACCGGTCCAGGACTGATCAGGATTTTAGGGGCAGAGAAATGGGACCTTGTATGGAATTTAAAGATAGGGAGATGCCCCCTGTGGATCCAAATATTTTGGATTACATTCAGCCCTCTACACAAGATAGAGAACAGTCTGGTATGAATGTGAACAAGAGAGAAGAATCCACACATGACCGTACAATAGAAAGGCCTGCTTTTGGCATTCAGAAGGGAGAATTTGAGCATTCAGAAACAAGAGAAGGAGAAACACAAGGTGTAGCCTTTGAACATGAGTCTCCATCAGACTTTCAGAACAACCAAAGTCCAATTCAAGACCAAGACAAGTCACAACTTTCTGGAGGTGAACAACAGAGTTCAGATGCTGGTCTGTTTAAAGAAGAAGGTGGTCTGGACTTTCTTGGCCAGCAAGACACTGATTACAGAAGCATGGAGTACCGCGATGTGGATCACAGGCTGCCAGGAAGCCAGATATTTGGCTATGGCCAGAGCAAGTCTTTTCCAGAGGGTGAAACTGCCCGAGATGCCCAACGGGACCTTCAGGTATTTGGTTGGGGGTGGGTTGCTTTTTCCTTTTTCGTAAGGCTTTTCTAAAGGATGAAGTGTAGAGTTCAGGACCTTCAGTTCTGGATCTCTCCTTGTACAACCATTGATGAACAAAATTTGTATTCAGGAGTGGAAATGCAGAAACGTAAATCTCTAGAGAAAGGGCCCCCAGCTCAGATCATATTTTTGATGTATGTTAATTCATTATTTTGCTTTATGGTGCAGGTTTAGATGCCCTGGGATAATTTAGTTTGAAAGTATCTGTCTTTGGGAGTTGTTCTTGCAACTCTTGCATAGTCTCGCCATGTGATTGTTTAGGGCTCATTTTCTTACTTAAACTCATTCAGAGAATACTTAGGAGTCTTCCTTTCTCCAGTCAAGAGGAGGTAATGTTAATGTTGCAAGTTTCCAATTTGCAACTAACATAATTAACTTAAATGTTACATTTCTTTTTTTTTTTTTTTTTGAGACAGAGTCTCACTCTGTTGCCCGGGCTAGAGTGCCGTGGTGTCAGCCTAGCTCACAGCAACCTGAAACTCCTGGGCTCAAGCAATCCTTCTGCCCCAGCCTCCCGAGTAGCCGGGGCTACAGGCATGCGCCACCATGCCTGGCTAATTTTTTCTATATATTTTTAGTTGTCCGATTAATTTCTTTCTATTTATAGTAGAGACGGGGTCTCACTCTTGCTCAGGCTGGTCTCGAACTCCTGAGCTCAAGCGATCCTCCAGCCTTGGCCTCCCAGAGTGCTAGTATTACAGGTGTGAGCCACCACGCCTGGCCGGTAAAATCTGTTTTTAAAGATAATATTTTCATTTTCAAACTACAAACATAACCCTTTAGATTACATATTCAAGAAATGGGCCGGGCGTGGTGGCTCACACCTGTAATACTAGCACTCTGGGAGGCCAAGGCTGGAGGATCGCTTGAGCTCAGGAGTTCGAGACCAGCCTGAGCAAGAGTGAGACCCCCTCTCTACCAAAATTAGAAAGAAATTAATCGGACAACTAAAAATATATAGAAAAAATTAGCCAGGCATGGTGGCGCATGCCTGTAGCCCCGGCTACTCGGGAGGCTGAGGCAGAAGGATTGCTTGAGCCCAGGAGTTTCAGGTTGCTGTGAGCTAGGCTGACGCCATGGCACTCTAGCCTGGGCAACACAGTGAGACTCTGTCTCAAAAAAAAAAAAATAAATAAATAAATAGATTTTACCCATCTCTACTTAGTTTCTGTTACTTTGGATGGTCATCCTATAACATGCTAACCAAATAATGAGTTTTGGGAATATTAGAGCTGGATGGCCATATAATTTATTGTCTAAATCAGGATACTTTCAAGAATAAAAGAGGACATTATTGATAATTATGCCAGGACAGTAGGCATAACTGGGGGATATGGTCACTTCGTTATAGACTTTTTCTAAAAACTTAAATCTGTTTTAGAACTTTTAAAATGGAGGGAAATTAATTGGAAAATATAGATTTATAAATGTGAAAAATACAGATTTCTCTCAACTATACTGTTGTGTGGTTTAGACTCAAATGACACCTTTTGACTTTGTTCAGAAATTTATTTATTGAAGGCATCTTTAATAAATGACGTCTAGTTTAAATTTCTTTTTTTGCTATTTGCTCATTCAGGAAAAGAAAATTATACTTTTTTGGAGAATATGTTAGTGTTATTTTCTAGTTATAAAAGTCCCATTCAATGTTGTCTTTCATAATGCTCTGCTTTACAATTTTAAGACTCCTTCAGTGAGCCTTGGTCCTTAGCACACCTATATTCTAATAATTTGAAGTCAAATTTTGGAACTCAGAACAATAGAGAAAATTATAATTTTTCATATCTTCATATAATATGAGTCATTTTCTTTTTGATCCTGAGTACCTATATTTCATGTTGAGTTTCATATTGCACACTAAAGTATATTTGTGTAATAATTTTTCATTCTAAATTGAAGGATCAAGATTATAGGACTGGTCCAAGTGAAGAGAAACCCAGCAGGCTTATTCAATTAAGTGGGGTACCTGAAAATGCCACAAAAGAAGAGGTAAGACGTATATGCTCTCTTTCTCCGTTTTGGTTAATTAAAAAATTTTAAGCTGGGCACAGTGGTTTATGCCTGTCATCCCAGCATTTTGGGAGGCTGAGGTGGAAGGATCACTTGAGGCCAGGAGTTCGAGACCAGCCTGGGCAAAATAGCAAGACCCCATCTCTAACAACAACAACAACAACAAAAAATTAGCCTGGTGTGGTGGTGCACGCCTATAGTCCCAGTTACTTGGGAGGCTGTTGTGGGAGGATTGCCTGAGCCCAGGAATTCAAGGCTGCAGCAGTGAGCTACATCATGCCACTGTATTCCAGCCTGAGTGACAGAGCAAGACCCTGTCTCTTAAAAAAAAAATTTTTTTTTAAACTCTTTAGTTTGCAAAATTACAGATACACAGAAGGTACAAAGAAACATAGAAGTCTTGTGTGTCCTTCACCCTGCCTCCCTCATTGTTGATATTTTGTATGACTGTAGTACAATATCTAAACCAGGAAATTGCTTTTGGTATAACCGTAGTACTTACTCAGATGTCACCAATTATACATGTACTTACTGAGGTGAGGTTTATTAAAAAAAAAAAATTATGGCAAATGATTGCTCTCTTCAGACCTGATAATCATCCTTTAGGGCACATTATTTCTGGAATACATACATAAAGATGCAATTTATTTATAATAGTAAAAACTGGAAACTGCTTAACTGCCCAATGTCAAAGAATTGGCTGACTAAATTATGGGCGAATTTATGGAAGAATTGGTCAGAATACTACAACAAGAGCTAACCGTGCTTACTTTGTGCCAGACATTGTGTGATACTTACAAGTATTAGATCATTTAGTTTGTAATGTATCCTATGAGTAGGTACTCTTAATTCAGTCAATCCAAATATTAAGCATTACTGTGTGTCAGGTGCTGTTCTAGGTACTGAGTGATGCAGCAGTGAATATTATAAAGTCACTGCCTCCATGGATAATAAAAAAGCAAGCAAAAAATAGATAACAGTTTCAGGCAGTGATAAATGCTCTGATGAAAACCAAAGTAGAGGTTTAGTGTGTCACTTGGGTTGGGGATGTTTTAGACTGGGTAGTCATGGGAGACATCACTGAAGAATAGATATTTGAGCCCAAGCCTGAATGCAGTGAGAGAACAGTCCATTTAAAGATAGGGAAAACAATTGACCAGGGTGAGGGAGTTCATGCTGAGGGAGTGCCATAGCCCTGGACTATAATGAGCCCAGTGCATCATTTTATGTTTAACAGATGAGAAACTGTAAGAGGTTACACAGCAAGTGAGCCAGGAGGGTTAGAATGCAGACAGTCTGATCTCAGAGTTGAGCTTTTGAAGGTCATGCTCTTCTGGCTTTCTTATATACTTGAGAATTTTTGAATAATTATGTTCTCATTCAACATTTTTTGAATGCCTAAAGTGTTCGTGACTTAATTTTGCCTTTATAAAGTAATCATAGCTTTAAATTATGTAGAATAAAAGCCAGTATGGTAAATATAATATTCAGTGTTTGACTATGCTTTGTATCCTTAATGCAAATACCATCTTCTTGCAGATTCTTAACGCCTTTCGGACTCCCGATGGCATGCCTGTGAAGAACTTGGAGTTGAAGGAGTATAACACAGGTGAGTTTCTTGACATGCATGTGGCCTTGGGTTAGGAAGCATCTTTGTCAGATCTCTGCATCATATGCTACTCAAAATTTTTTTTAAGAAATCACAAATAAGATTTCCAAAAGCCTCCTGTTGGTGCCTTCAAATAACAACCAGCTTTAGTCTTAGCTGTGGTTCTTTGTGGATGTTTGTCCACACGTGGGCGATGAGGATGCGTGTTCCAGTTCTTCTGAGTGCCTGTGAGATATAAAGTGAGTGTTGCAGCAATTGTCCCTTAATATATTTTATATAATTAAATTAATAATCTTGCTATTTATGTTCTTCATGGTGGCGGAATGTTTACATTTGAGCCTGGTAGGATTTAATAAACTTGCTGTATGTAAAATTTTACATTTCATTGCTTAGAGTGAAATTTACGACTTTCCAGAGAAATTATACAAATTAGTGGTTTCTTGAATTTTAAAGTCTTATTCTGAGAACGGAGTTATGCAACAGCTATTTTGTTGAAATTCATGAATAGATCCAGAAGAGCTTTCTCTTTGACATCTGTTCTGTGGTTTGAACTGCAGATTAAACTTTTCAGAGTATCCTCCTAGTTATATTTCAGAGTGCCAAGTTCAGTCAGTTCCTTTTAATCTTACTATGGAAAAAGTAGTCAAAAGTGAAATGTCAAGCACTCGAGATTTTGACCAATATTTTTAGGACTGCATAATAAGAAATGGTTTAAAATAAAGGTAATCTTTAGATGACCTATTTGTAGACTTTTAAATTGAAGAAAGTAGAACATTAATCTTTTCACAGAACTTAGAATTCAGTTAAAGAAATCTTCAGGTAAGAACATGTCATATTTTTGAGGATGTAATTTACTTTTAAACAGTTTACCATAGAGTAAAATTTTTGCATTACCTAGATAGCTTCTTCACATTGGTTCTGCAGAGGAAAAATTACCCACAAAAATAAATTTTTATGTTTTAAAGACTATGATATTTGTGTTAAGTCCAGAAATAATTTTTTTATGTAATTTGAGAACAAGTTCAGAAGCATTATTACAGAAAGCTATTAACACTGAATTTGTGGAAACATGACTAAGAGTAGTTATGTTGTTGTTCTCGTACACCTCACTTTTGTTACATTTATTTTTTTGCATGTGTTTCATCTGTGCTTTCTTTGGGAACTAAAGATAGACTTTACAGACTGGGGATGCTTTTTAACTCACAGGGTAATAACCTCAGCTTCAATCTTGTTTAATGAACTGTACTTTCATTAAGTATTGATATATTTAGGAAAGAAGAGATATCTTAATGTTTAAATAGCAGCAATCAGACTCTTGAGTTTCTTTAGTGCTCATTGACTTTCTAATTATATTGTCAGAGTTGTCAGCAGAGTAAAAATTATATTAACATATAGGGTCCAAATAGGAAGTTCTTATATTCGTTGGCTGTTGATAGCTATTAGAATCATAATTGGCAGACCAAAGACATTGATACATGTGTGAAATCATTAAGGACAGTGGTTTAAAAAGAAAACCAAAAAACACCTTTCAGAAAATGCAATCTTAGCATTTTATTATATCATGTGATAATATGTTTAACATATATACATAGTCTTTCTTTTTTTTT